TCTTAATCACATTTAGACCCATCCCCCATCTCCCCACCAAACCTCATGCATTCCACTGTACATGTTAAGTCCTTTTCATTCACGTTTGTACTCAGGTGTCCTTCAGCACACAAATTTTTTAAAAAAGAAATAATAATAAGCCTGGGACTGGAGAGATGGCTCAGCAGCTAAAAGCACTGGCTATTCTTGCAGAAGACCCAGATTTGAATCCGAGCACCCACATGGGGCTACCCAACCGTCAGTAACTCCAGTTCGAGGGACTCATACGCCCTCTTCTGTCTTCTGTGGGTACTGCGTGACACAAGTGCACTTACACGCAGGCCTAACACTGATACACATAAAGTAAAAATAAATAAATAAATAAATAAAAATGATAAGCTTGGGCCGGTGAGATGGCTTTACTGCCGCCTCACCTGATGACCTGAGTTTGATCCCCAGGACCCAAATGGTAGAAGGAGAGAACCAGTTCCCACAAGTTGTCCTGTGTACCTTGCATGCATGTGTGCACACACCTACATAGACATGGGTGCACACAAAAAAGTAATAAAGTATCTTAAACATTTTTAAAATATTTTTTCTATGATTTTAACAAGAACTGAATATAAGATTTTTTTATTTTGTATATTGTTCTATGATTACATTTTTTTTTTTTTTTTGCAGGAATGGCATTCCGAAACACCCAACTAGACTGCAGTAAGATTTCTTAACCCAACTTAGTGAATGTTGCAAAATGTAATTCTAACAATGGCTGTTCCCTTCCTTTGCCAGTTGGTGATGGAGTTCTGTGGCGCTGGCTCTGTCACTGACCTGATCAAGAACACCAAAGGCAACACGTTAAAAGAAGAGTGGATTGCATATATCTGCAGGGAGATTTTACGGGTAGGTGACAAGTGGGCCCCAGCCTGTCCCGCCCTTCAGGTAACGCAGAATATATGGACAGAGATTCTACTTTGTTCTGTCCTTCCAGTGAAATTCATAAGTGTAGCAGAAACCTCTTTAAGAGTTTATCCTAATAGCCAGACATGAGGACCCCCATTTTTATCTCAGCATTCAGGTGGCTAAGATAGGAAAATTGTGAATTCAAAGCCATCCTGTGCTGCATGAACATATGCTCTCTCAAAGATATATAGATAGACAGACAAACAGGCAGCTAGATAGATAGATAATAAATAGATAAATCATAGATAGATGAATAGGCAGTCAGATAGATAGATGATGCACAGATAAGCAGACAGGCAGACAGATGATAGAGAGACAAATGATAGACAAATCGATGATAGATGCATAATAGAAGATAGATAGACCAAAGATAGATAGATGATAGATAGATATGATAGATTAGATAGACAGATAGATAGATAGATGATAGAGATAATAGATAGATAATAGATGATAGATAGACAGATAGATAGATAGGATAGATAGATAGATAGATAGATAGATAGATAGATGATAGATGATAGATAGATAGATAGATAGATAGATAGATAGAGATAGAGATAATAGATAGATAATAGATGATAGATAGATAGATGATAGATAGATAGATTAAATAGATAGATAGATAGGTGATAGAGATAGATAATAGGTAGATGATAGATTAGATAGATAGAGATATAGATGATAGAGATAGATGATAGATAGATAGATGATAGATAATGGATAGATGGATGGATGGGTGGATGAATGGATGGATGGATGGATAGATAGCTACATAATAAATAGATAGATGGATAGATGACACACAGGTTTATTCTAACAGTGTAGTGGTAGGTATAGTTTGGAGGAAGGGCTGCTGTGGTTAATGGAGGACCATCTAGGGTAGGCCATGAGTACTTTTATTTAAAAGGTTGACACTGAATGATTTCCGTAACACAGCGTTTGCTTTTGATGGTGTTTGCTATTAGAAATCCAACTTTAGATCATAATGTCTCACTTGGGAAATGGATTATGAGGTATGTTGGTTTGGCTGATCATTCAAAGTATCTGTTTTCATTATAACTGTGTGATGCCTCCCCACCACATAAAGTGTATAAGGAATACAGGACTTTGCTCATGTCTGTATGTATAGTCTTACCTGATTTTACCTTAAAACATCTTTGCGACTTCATCACTTAAATACATGATAATAGTTAGATGTGCCTTTTTTGTCCACTTTTTCCAAAAATGTCACTATCGGGTAATTTATCGAGCTCAGTTCATGAGAAGAAGGCAATTGGGCACATTAAGTTCATTCGAACTAGTCTGATTTTTCTCTTGCTACTAATATGGAGGCTATTATGTGTCTACTGAGCATTCTTACTAGATCTGCCTGACAGTCATTGTTTATTCATAAGCTTTGCTTCCTAATCTAAGAGAACAAAAGTTAAAATTCCTTCCTACTATGTGTCCAAAGTATGGCCTTGAGAGACATAGAGCCTGCTGTGGGTGAATGAGCATTGATAAAACGGAAGGAGATATAGACTGATGATGTCTAGCCATTAAACAAAAACCAGACTAAGCAAAAGACAAGCAGAAAACAAAATTTAAATCATAGCATTGACAATAGAATGAGCAAGTCAAATATTCAGCAATAAATCTCTAGAGAGAGACAGATGAATCACCTCTGCTCTAATGATTACACCAAGAAAAATGAAAGTGGATCGTAATAAAGGGAGGTGTTTGCCATTTCATAGCTCAGAATTCTCAATATTGTAAATATGTCATCTATGGTTTAATCCATGGTTTCTTTGAACTTTTAACCAAACTCCTAACAATGCTTGTGCACAAGCTAACTTTTAGAAACTATATTGATATGCAACAGCCCAGAATAACCAAAGACATCTCACAAAGAAAAACACCTTTGCCTCTCAAGGCTCAGAAATCATTGTGGAAGAGAGGGTGGACAGATTCTAAGAGCCAGAGGAGGTAGGTGACCGCTAAGAAACAGAGTTTTCCAGACAGCTGGTCAACTACTCATATAAACACAGCAATGGTGACAGCATAGACGAGTTCCACATAAGGTCAAGCCAGAAAATATCCCGGTAAAGATGTGAGGAAGAACCCCCAACCCTACCCGCGGAACCACTGGCAACCAATGGTTGCTGGGAAGGGAGATCAGTATTATTTAAGGGTGAGACTCTTAGGTTGACCAGGCTCCAGTGGATAAACCCACATGAAAAGGGCATTTGGGACACAGATCTGACTCTATAGGTCTTTATATCTATCTATCTATCTATCTATCTATCTATCTATCTATCTATCTATCT